ACTCTCACTGTAACAGAGCTTACTGCCATAAGCTTTCCAGTCTTCTTCAAAATGTTTTAGCAATCAAAGCTAAATCCATCTAATCTGTCTTCAGTTTTAGGAAGACGATTAGAAGAACTCCCTGAATATTATACACTTTCCCTTTTTACCATGAGTCTGCAAAGTAAACCTTGTTAATCTGGAAGCCCTTACTAAAGAACATGAAATACCTAAGTTTTTCACTCTCCAAAGAAGAGCTTTATACTGTTTAATACTGTAAATAAGATGATGTAAGACTGTTCAACCTGTGCAAGAGAAATCTCATTAACATAACTACCTGCATGTGAATCAAAAGTTCCTAATTATATTTCTGTCCAAATCTTTGAATTGACATTAAAGAGACACAATTTAAGATTGTTTGAAAGTTAGTTGTTTGGAACCCCAACTGTACCTTCCCGTAGGAATATTAATATAAATATGGTTTATTTTCCCAGCCCAATCCATGAAAGCCTATGTTATTCCTAATGTGCCTAAAAATAATTCTTGCTGTATACTAGAAGCCAAACATTACTGGCAATAGTCTTTACATAGAAAATCCACTAAGAGTTGAAAATTTGGGAATTAGAAAAATCTCTCTCACCAATGCCATCCAGGCTGAGGGAGTGTGGATAGAATTTGAGTGGAGTAGGTGGGCTAGCCAAGAGCCCCTGGGTGAAGTGGCTATAATTCAGGGAGGAGGTGGGAAACTTGGGGTTTGAGGACTGGGTAAGGTAACTTGGAGAAAGCTTGTTTAGGTGACAAACTCTTTCTTCCTCTCCCTCTCCTGAGGAGGTGGGAAGGGTAAAAACAAAGTTTGACATTCATGCCGTTCCCTCTCCCACAGCTATGTGCTAAGGAGACCAAAAGAGGGCTGAGGAGAAACACGATTGGCAGGGAAGAAATAGAGGCAAATTAGTTAGTTCGAGTCTTAGATAAATATCAAAAACAAGTTATGAAGGAATTTTAGCTCAGAAATCTTGGAAGATTGGGGTAGTTGAAAAAGCTATCATTTTAAGAAATAGCCAGATATCTGCTTTAAGCAAAATAATAAAGAGAAAATAAAGAAAAGAAAAACAAGAAAAAGATATACCCCAAATTACAAGTCAATATTATTATAAATACACTAAGTAAATAAGATCAAAGCCCTTTCAACCATTTACAAATCCATAAAAATTATCTAATTTGTTGTTTAAATGTACATTGCTTATTTGTGCACTGTATGTACCTCATCAGGTCTGTGTAAAAGAGATTTAATGTATGGTTTACATAAATTTATTCAAGGGAAAATGGACTCACGGTAAGGTGTTAATGTAGATATAATTGTATAAATTCCATAACTGCTGCACATATTGATAATTACATCTACTACACAGGACATTTCTAAGTGTTCACACTGTAGATAGATACAATTTTTTCTTGGAGTTGTAAGTCTGTTTAAAGTCCTTTTTTTGCAAAAGAAATTTCTCATAAGTAGGTTAGGGGCTGGGGAAGTAACAGATTACAACGCTGTTGCTATGAGCTGTTGTCAGTTGCCATCAAGTTTGCTCGGACTCATGAGGACCTTTAACAGACAAAACGTTACCCAGTCCTGAGTCATCTTCAGGATCATTGGTATGTTTGTGTCCACTGTTGCGGCTACTGTGTCAATCCATCTCATAGAGGGTTTCCCTCATTTTCATTGACGCTTCACTTTTACTAAACATAATGTCCTTTTCTAGTGATTGGTCTTTCCTGATAACATGTCCAATCTAAGTGAGCCAAAATCTTGCCATCCTCACTTCTAAGAAGCATTCTGGTTGCATTTCTTCTACGACTGATTTGTTCATTCTTCTCACAGTCCACAGTACATTCTTCTCCAACACCACAATTCAAATGCATCAATTCTTCTTCTGTCTTCTTTTTTCATTGTCCAGCTTTCACATGTATATGAGGAAAAGATCAGGCATACCTTAGTCACGAAAGCGATAGCTTGTCTTTTTAAAACTTTGAAGAAGTCCTTTGCAACAGATTTTCCCAATGTAATCTGTGGTTTGATTTCTTGAATTCTGCTTTCATGGATATTGACCGTTGATTTAAGTAGAATGAAATCCTTGACAGCTTTAACACAAGTTGAATGTGAAGTTGTACACATTACAATAGGTACAGAGGAAAATGAAATATATAAATGAACAGAATTTGTAAATTCATCTATACTTTGTAAAACTCTTAAAGCAATGTTAATGATCACCCAGTACTAGATGAAAAAATTCATTAAAAATGGTTTAATTTAAAATTTTAAAATAGAAGTTTCTTTGGAAAAATATGATAATAATGTAGTCATAAGAGGTAGGTCATACATTTTTTGGGGGGGGCGGTGGACATAGCAAAACTAATTTTTGTGCCAAGGAAAGTATTTCTTGGCTTCATATTTCCCCTCACACCTATCCTTCCTGAATTCATTGCTTTCCTTTTGCCATGATTAGGAAGACATTTTGAACGAAATGATCACATGATCTGAGGGTCCACTAAAGGCAAAATGGTAGCCAAAATGAAGGAAAACAAGAGGAAGTCACCATTTGAATATGCCAGTCCCTTCCTTCTTACAAATTTCCAAAATTTTCCAAGTATGGGTAGTTGGGTAGACTTTATTTTTCTGAACAGCCATAGTAAAAAATAAAACTTGATGTGAAGATATTCTGAAGTGCCATGAAATACTTTTGAATCTTAGCCCTAATGACCCATAATGCTCCTGGTTCCTTCCATTCTTGGCTTCGTGTGCTGCTTTATTATGTTTCTTCTGCTCATTAACTGTGCCTGTATACCCAAGATTTATTATCTTGTGCTCTTCCCTTCATAGTTACTGTCTTTAGCATCCCATTAACTAATACGTCTTGTGTGCAATTTCCAAGTCTTTATAGCCACATGCAAATTTTCTAACCTTCATTTGGTCTCTAGGACACTTGCACTAGGATGTTGTAGCAGATGTAGGTGCCCTGCTCATAGTACCTTCACCATGCCCCCCACCCCCAAAGAAAACATTGCTAGAATACAGATCTCCTAGGTCCCTGTGGCTTCCTGCATTCGTCTAGCTGCTGCTGCGTGCTAGACTTCTGCCTGGGGCAGACCAAAAGTGCCAGGGAGCTAACACCCAGGTACAACTCTCAAAAATGAAAGGAAGGGAAGTTAGTGGATAAACTCATCAGACTTGCCCATCAGTGAGATGATTCTGAGGCATGTTCTACAGTCTCTCACAGGTTCCCCAGCATGACTGAGCCCCAGTTGTCCACGGCAATAACCTGTTCACTAATGCATCCACTTCTGGTTTTCCTGCCTTCGCTGTCATTTCCCCACTCCCTCACAAGCTTCCTGGGATCATCTCCCAAATACACTATTTATATCCAAATCCTTATCTCAAGGGCTTCTTCTGAGGACGGGAGATCCAAGCTAAAACAGAAATCCTATTAAAACTTAAAATATGTTAAAGACTATAATCTCACTCAGACTTCCTTCATTATCTGCTGGCTCACCTTCTCTAGAGAGCTGGGTACTACCAGGGAATGAGTGTTTTTGAGACAGACTTGACTTCTGTCCCCTGTTCTATAGTGTCACCCCAGGTGAGCCATTTCTCTGATCCAATTTTCTGTTTTCATACATATATTATTAGGATAATAATACCTCCCAGGGCTTTTACTTTGTTTTCATCCCTTTATAACACAGCAGTTTAAAATTTAGGGAACAGATAAAATTTTCTCTTGTGGTGTTTCCCCTTTCCCAATAATAACTTTGAGCCAACTTGGAATACAAGAGTGAAAACCACAAATAGTGAGTATTCTCAGATATCGATATAAATTAACTAAAGGTCAAATTTTTTCTCATGAGCTTAGAGTGACAAGGACTGCTCTACTTAACTGTGTGGGGTTTTTTTGTTATTTTTTTGTTTGCTTGCTTTATTAATCATCCTCATATACAGAACTCATAAAGACTGTAAATGCACTCTTGGTCTAGTCTGAGAATTAGCACACAATAGACAATTAATTCATAATATTGACTGACAAAGACATCCTAAAAAATGTTTAATTTACAAAACAATCTAGGACAGAAATAGCACAGGGTACATCAAGGAGAAAGAAACGTCAGGGAAGACCAATGAAAAATTATGTTACTTGCAGCTATTTCATTATCAAAAGTAAATAACTAATACTTTTATTTCCTTCCCTATAGCTTCCTCTAGACTATAATTAGTATTGCTATTGAGTTTGCTGTTTGTTATTTTTCACTGACTCTTCATTTGTGGGGCCCTGGTGGCACAGTGATTAAGCATTTGGCTGCTAATCAAAAGGTCAGCAGTTCAAATCTACCAGCCGCTCCTTGGAAACCCTACAGGGCAGTTCTACTCTGTCCTATAGGGTTGCTATGAGTCAGAATGGTCTTCATTTCTGACAACTCCCTTCTCATACTGTACTTTCATCTTTATACACATTCCTCCCTCTCCTAAAATTTACTCTTTTTCTTCCATATGATGTTCTGTTGACAGCATTCACATTTAATTATAAATCGTACCTTCAGCTGTTGGTTTATATGGAAAATGTAGAACGAATGCAATACCTGTCTATAATGAATTGAAAGTAGCCAGCAGAATCACAGTCTAAATAATCAGTTTGCATGGATTTACAACATCATTAGTACATGATTCATCAGTATCTCATGCTGACATTCATTAAGTCATTCCATCTTACATTAAAGTTCTGTGGCGACGTTTCAGATCAGTTAAGAGTTTTGCTTTATGTGATTGTTAAACTTACCATCTGGCCCAACAGCTGATGCGGCTCGCACAACCCTGAAGAGGCCCCCAGGCTTTACCCCAGGGAAATGTTTGGTCTACTGTGTGGTGTCATGATTACCAGTTTATAGCTTTTTTATATCCTTTGAAGAGAACTGCAGAAAAACCTCCACACTGGGGAATCCTATGTTGGAATTAATTTGGTAGAAAAGAGCTCACTTACCTGAGGACCAGGCTGTCCCTAAAATTGAAGAAAAAAAAAAGAAAAACAATTAGAAAATTGTTTTTTTAGAAAATATTTTCACTACCAAAACATAAACCAGTGAAAATCTTTACAAAATACTTCTAACAATGATAATATTTAATTATCTGACAAACTTCATTTTGTGGTTTAAAAAAAAAAATCATCACATCGTTACTTTTACTCTATGCTATTTACCTAAAATTCTGCTATTATGGTCTATTATATGTAACTCTGAAATGACTGAAGGGTTTTGGCATGCTCCTGAATTTAACCGGAGAAAGAGAAAGCAAAACGAGTACTTAATGAATGGGTTATTTAAAAGGAGAATCCTTTAGCACAGACCATGACTATAAACTGCAAATTTAATGATACAAAGATAAGAAAAAAAAATCAGAGATATTTCAGTTTCAAAACTCACAATCTTTGAATTTCTCACTGCTTCAATAATACTTTAATTTAAAAAAAAAAAAACTTTTACTCCACTTAATTCAACTCAAGGGCATTAAAAAGGATATGAGAGGTCTTTGGCTCAATTAAGTGCATCATAACTCCTCAGACAGTCAATAAATTATATAACCTCTGGCCAATCTAATTCATTTTGTCACTTTTGTGGTTTAAGCTGATAAAAAATTTCAAAGCAGCATAATTGTAAATGCTTCTAGTTAAAGAAAAATCACCTGTGAGTAAAAGTATTGACTACACATCACCTTTTTAAAATCTCCAGTTGGATTTTGTGTCAGATGAGACTAAAGAACAAGTTTCCACTGAGTTAGGGAATCTTAAAAAGAAGTAAATAATGTAGAGTCGTGATGTATCAGTTGTATGTCAGTGGGTATAATACAGAAAAGCATACAGCTAATACAACCCCCAGAGAAGCCTCAGGGAATCTCTCTCACTTCACCCCTCCCCAAGCTTGGAGTTTCTCTAGGAACTTGGTCTCTAACTCACTGGGGACAGAACGGACGATTTTCAAGAGCTTTGACCAAAAATGTGTTTCACTAGCTTTTATCGAAAAAAAGCCCTGGTGGAACAAGTGCTCGATGGCTAACCAAAAGGTTGGCGGTTCAAATCCACAAAGTGGCTCCATGAGAGAAAGACCTCGTGATCTGCTTCTATAAAGACTACAGCAAGGAAAACCCTATGGGATAGTTCTACTCTGTCACATAGGGTCATTTTTTATCAAGTAAAACCAGGAAAGGGGACTAAACCAAGTTACTGCGGCTATTACAAACTCCACTCCTGTACTCTTCAGTGGTGTAGAGGGAGAAAGAGAGTAACACGTTAAATCCTTACCGAGTCTAGGTACTTTTGGATATGTTATTTCATTACCCTTATAACTGCCCTGCCTTTTACAAATGGAGAAACTGAGGATTAAAGAAATAAGTGAAAGATCACACAGTCTGCCTGAAGGTAGAAAAGGCAGAATTTAAACCCAAATCTGATTCTAAAGCTCATGCATTTTCCACCAAGTCATTTTGCCTTTCATTCTTGAAGTTTAATCTAACAGCTATACGCAGATGTATCCAGATCAACAATGGTGCAACAGCACTCTTCAAATGAGAAGATGCTGTAAACCTCCCCACCACTCCTGAGCTGCTAATGTTCATCTCTGCTTCCAATGCATCACTAGGATCAGCAGGCACTTCAGCCTATTAACTGATACACATACAGAAACCAGTTCAGCAAACCTTCTTGAGGGTGTGGTTGTTGGGTTCCGTCAAGTCTATTCCGACTCACAGTGACCCCATGTGACAGAGCAGAATTGTCCTATAGGGTTTCCTAGTGTGTAATCTCTACAAGAGCGGATCACCAGTTCTTTTCTCCCGTGGAGCAGCAGTGGGTTTGAATCACTGACCCTTCGGTTAGCAGCCAAGTGCTTAACCATTGTGCCCCCAGGGATCCTATGCACCACCAGCCCTCAAATCAGTTCCAAATGTGGAGGACCTAAAAAAAGGCAGGGCTCTCAGTCTGCATGTAAACGAAGGATTTTGCAGATCCATGTACTGGACGCAATCAACATGTGCATTCAGTCTCTTGCTCTCTTACTCTCTCTCGATGTCTAGAGCTAATGCAAACTCAAAGATGTGAAGTGCAACCTTTATAGAGCCTCAGAATACATTACACCTCTTGCTTGTATGATGTGAAAATTAAAATGTAGGATTCTCTAAAATCCAAAAGACTTTCTCAAAAGAATATATTTAGCATAGTTTCTGAGATTTTCTGATTCCTGTGGTTGTTCTGGAGCCCTGGTGGCATACTGGTTAAGAGCTTGGCTGCTAACCAAAAGGTCGGCAGTTCAAATCCACCAGCCACTCCTTGGAAACTCAATGGGGCAGTTCCACTCTGTCCTATAGGGAATCAGAAAGAGTCGGAATCGAATTGACGGCAATGGGTTGTTTTGGTTTATGGTTGTGCTAAGAAGCCCTGGTGGTGCAGTGGTTAGGCACTCGGCTGCTAACCAAAAGGTCGGTGGTTAGAACCCACCAGCAGCTGTGTGAGAGAAAGATGTGGCAGACTGCTTCTGTAAAGATTACAGCCTTGGAAAGCCTATGGGGCAGTTCTACTCTGTCCTATAGGGTCGCTATGTGTCGGAATCGACTTGACAGCAATGGGATAGTTGTTCCACAATGTTACACTTTTCCTGGACAACACTGAAAGGAGGTATTTCTGCCATTCCACTGAACAAATGATTTAAAGAAAATCGGTACAAACATTTATAAGTTATTATATACAGATGTACACCTCATTATAGATACTATGTTAATGACAGTAAGAATAAATAGTAAATGACAGTGAAATTAAAAAGTTGACATTTACGTAGGTACCAGAAATATACATGGGATATTTAAATATACAGGGAACTCAGATTACTCTAATAGGTGTCTGATATTAATTTCAGGTGTATATGATGTGCGTACGTGTGTATGTATGTGTGTGCATGTGTGTGTAGGGTGGGGAAACGGGAAATAAGGATGGAAGGGTGTTGGTACAAAGGCATTCCTGAGGAATGATGTATACAACATTACAAACGTGGTCGCTCTGCCCTAAAACAGATTACACAATACAAGCCTTTCAAACCTTACACAAGATATTAAGACTCCCCACACCAAGTTCTCTCACTCAATATGATATAAGAAACTATTCACGAGAAGCCACCAAAAACACCTGTAAGAAAACAGACTCCGGCAGCCGGCATCTTGTAGCCATCATAATTAAGCCATCTGGCCAAATTAGGGAAGTGATAAGGGCTTCTGCTGTGCGGCAGTATCGGCTGCTAAGTGGGAGCACGTAGTGTGGAAGGAGGGCAGTCTACAGACTAAGAGTGGAGAGTATCCCAGAATCCCTCTCATGGATGAGGGCACCAGTACACAAGGACTTAGTTCCAAATGAATTAACAAAAGAAATATCTCAGAATTTCCTTAAGTTGGGTCTGAGTAGTTCATTGTGAAATACATGTTTTTTCATTCATTGGTGGGTATTCTTCTAGTCTATTCTGATTTATAGGCAGTGAACATTATTAACTGTGAAAGTTAACTCTTTTTGTTGTTTTCTAAAATAAACCCCTAATGTGTAGTTGTAAATTATAATTAAAGCACACAAAACACACAACTTATGTTGATTTTTTAAAATGAAATTCCTGAAAAGTCCTTTTTTTCCCCAACCAAATTACTAAAATATTTCTATAAATAAAAAACTAAACCTACTATAACCAAGAGCCATGCCAAAGGAAACAGTTAAATCACAGAAATACTGTCGCTCAGAATCCATATACAAAGGTGGACAGTACTGTGACTTACTGTATACAAAAAAAGCCCCAAACCCCTTGCCATTGAGTCAATTCTGACTCATAGAGACCCTACAAGACAGCAGAACTGCCCCACAGGGTTTCCACGGAGCAGCTGGTGGATTCCAACTGCCGACCTTTCGTTTAGTAGCCAAGCTATTAACCACTGCGCCGCTGGGGCTCCAATTTACAGTATGTCAACAGCTAAATGCAATACCCTGAAGACAGCTTAGGCACCAGTGTGAAGAAAAAGAAACAGCAGGAGGAGCTGACTTAAAAGCAGTAATCAGAACAGTATGGTGGAAAAGAATCAGTTAAAAGTTTTGTGAGGCAAGTAAACTGCGATGGAACATGATAAATGATATAGCGTATCACCAGAGTACGTACTGTTTCTTTAGGCAATTAAAGCACCATATTAACCACTCTTTGTTAAGCTGTTATCACAACTATGGTTTCCACAAAGTCCTAACACTCCACTCCATATCGACAAAGTCATATAGATTTCTGACTGAGGCAATTAGTTTAACTACATGATACTTTTTTATGGATGGGAAATCTGTATCATTTCTTTTCAGATTAAACAAATACTGTAGGGTTTTTTTTTTCCTATTAACACACACACAGATAGGAATGCAAAATTTGTAGTTTTAAAGTGCAGTCTTACTTTGAAATTTTAATTATGATGACAGACACATATATCTTTACTGTGATAAATTTTAAATAAAAACTCTTTAATTTACAAAAATCTGGAGAATACTAGTATCATTCATGCAACTCTATAAGGTACTGCCTCTACTTCAAGGAAATTAGAAAGAAATTGCCTCAACGACTCAGAAGTTCATTACGAAGAACCTCAAGCTTGACTACACTTTCACTTTAGTACACTTAGGTTCACATTTATTTCATTCTCTTGAATTGAAAGAAAATACTTCAAAATAATAATTTTTATGTTTTGCATTTTGGAACCCTTATTATATAAAACCTTATGAATCACAACAGAACACTGTCCCACTCGCTTGCTTTGGATACATTACTGGAGTAGGACATCACGTCTGGTGAAGTGGAGGGCCAGTAAGCACGAGGGAGACCCTTGGTGAGATGGATTAGGACAATAGGCACAATGATGGACTTGAACGTGGTGACAATCTTGAGGATGATGCAAAGCTGGACAACATTTCATTCTGTTCTATATACGGTCACCATGAGTCAGGAT